ACCACAGTGATTGGGTGAGACAGAAAAATTAATGGTATGGAAAAGTGAGTCAGTACCATAGGGTACTGATTGGCTTTGAGACTCAGCCAGGCCTATTCGATCACATGGCAACCATCAATACTTGAGCTTTACGTTGTCGTTTAGTTGTGACAGAAGTGACATAAATGCCCAAACACAAGGATGGATGCAGAAAGTCAGCTAACTTACATTGTACTCGCAACATGTGACTGACTTTTCTCTCCCAGGTGTCTCTGGAAAGCCAGGCCCATTTGGTTTGCCTGGAATGCCGGGTCGGGGTGTAGGCGTTGGATACACTTTGGTGAAGCACAGCCAGTCGGAGCAGATCCCGCCATGCCCAATTGGAATGAATAAGCTCTGGGAGGGTTACAGCTTGCTGTATGTGGAGGGGCAGGAAAAGGCGCACAACCAGGATCTCGGTAAGTCAAAAAGACTCTGTCACAAATGAGGCAGGCCAAATTCCACTCCCCCCTACACACTGCACAACTCCTACTGATTTCACTGGGCTTTGTAAGAAGTGTAGCTCTGAGGTGGAATACGACACTGAGGGTGCACTGATACTTGCCACTTGCTTATCGTCTGGATCTGGTCTTTACTAGCTCTTGCCTTTTGGCAGCAGCTTGATGTGCCCTTTGTTCTCCTCTCCATTCCCACCCAGGTTTTGCTGGGTCCTGCTTGCCTCGCTTCAGCACCATGCCATTTATTTACTGCAACATCTATGAGGTGTGCTACTATGCCAGCCGAAATGACAAATCCTACTGGCTGTCCACCACTGCTCCCATCCCTATGATGCCAGTGAGCCGTCTGGAGATCCCACAGTACATCAGTCGTTGCTCGGTGTGTGAAGCACCTTCCCAGGCTATTGCAGTACACAGCCAGGACATTACCATCCCGCAGTGCCCCGAAGGCTGGCGCAGCCTGTGGATTGGATACTCTTTCCTAATGGTGAGAAAATCGATTTGTTAATGCAAAGACGGTCACACTGTGTGAGGCTTGTTTTAATATTGGCAGTTCATCTTTGACTCAGCCACTAAGTTTGCTAGTTTTAACAGTTGTGTCCAAGAAACTGAAAGCTCCACAAGGAGCTGACCTAAGGAGTTCCTTGTGCATTACCAGCAGACCTAGAATAACCTCAGCCATTTTGTTGCCATTTAGCTAACTTCTCAAGTGTATTGATAAAGTTCATGGTGGGGTGGAAGAAACAGAACACTTCCATACTAGCAAAGAGAGTAATGGCCCTTAAGAACTGATTCCTTTAAACATCAAAAAGGCTAATTAACTATAGAGAGACAAGGTGGGTAAGATAATATCTTTTACTGGACCAACTTCTCTTGGTGTGAGAGAAAGTTTTCGAGCTTACGCTCAGCTCTTCTTCAGCTCTTCCCAGACCTGTAAGCCCAAAGACTTGTCTTTCTCACCAATGGAAGTTGATCCAATAAAAGATATTAGCTCACCCACCTTGTGTCTCTAATATCCTGGAACCAACATGGCCACACTACTGCAATTAAACTATCGCACAGATTTAACCCCTTCTCCCACGCTTTTTCCAGAAATGTTCTACAATGAGGTTTCCTGGTAGTTCATTAAAGTGCGATTGCAAAGTGATTCTAAAAATAGCATTATGAGATTCTTTATTGTCTCTCAGTTTTCAGATTTGCTCACTTTGTAAGTGAAAAGCTGGTTTTTTAGATTACCAGAATCCTATATTCAACCCGGGGTTTGCATTCTTGTGCTTCCCCCGTAACTCTGACCCAAGTGACGTGTAGCTACAGGTGTCATGGGGGAGCAATCTAGATTTCCCCATTTTGTTCACTGCAACAAATGTATCCCATGAGTCCCTATGTAACTGCCTATTTCCTTCTTTTGGAACTCAATTAAATGACCATATCCATTCTAGCACACTGCAGCTGGCGCAGAAGGCGGAGGTCAGTCCCTTGTCTCACCCGGCTCTTGCCTTGAGGATTTCCGTGCTACTCCTTTCATTGAATGCAATGGTGCCAGAGGAACCTGCCATTACTTTGCAAACAAATACAGCTTCTGGCTGACGACAGTCGAACGCACGCAGCAGTTTGTCGGTGCTCCTCCCTCAGAAACTCTGAAAGCAGGACAGCTCCGAACACGAGTCAGCCGTTGCCAAGTATGCATGAAGAACTTGTAGCAAAAACCACCCAAACAAATAAAACTTTGCTACCTAAGAGTTTAAACCTCAATCATTGGAAGAAGAAATATAAACACAAGCCCATTCTGCTGGTGGTTTGTGGATAAGTTACAACAGCCAGAACACTATAGAAATTATGTTTTAGATCCATAAGAAACGTGACTTCACACAGAAGGAAGGAGGGACAGACTAATGCTCTGATACCTCTGACTGTTTTGTGGAACATGGTGCTACACTTTTGCTTTCATGTTTGTTTTCCTATTCATGGCTACCTCAGAAAGTCTCTGTGCCTTTCTCATTCAGATTGCAGAGTGACAAGCACTCCATATTATATCACCCATCCCTTTTATGCACTCATCTATAGCCAATGATAGATTTTCTTAAATAAGTTGGTGCTTCACTGATGAGTTGGCTTTGCAGAAAGCATTTGGCATGGCCTAGGGGAATAAACCTTGATTAGATGAGAAAATAGGTAATGAAGTGGATTTTCAATAGGAAAGGAACTTAACTCTAAACCACTTAAAACAAATCACTGCAGCGGAGATGCTCAGAGTATTAAGCATTACAGACTGAAACCTGGCTTACCTGGGAAGTTCTTACTTAAAGATGAGCTCATTTTGTTTTGCTTTTTAAAGCAATTGGCATAATCTTTGGTTTCAGTGATGCACAAGCAACTTGGAGCCAAATTCAGACCAGCTGTAACTGATGTCCCCAGTGAAAAATGTGGATTTCTACTTGAACTTAAAGCCATTTTCATTGTTCAGCACAGCTTTCTCTCTATTGAAATGTGCTCTATGTAAGCACAGTTCAAGGTTTGTCATTATCCTTTTGCACTCTAGCAATTTGTCACCTCCAGAATAATTTCATTAGTACATCTCTACCCCAATATAACGCGACCCGATATAACACGAATTTGGATATATCGCGGTAAAGCAGTGCTCCAGGGGGGTGGGGCAGCACACTCCAGTGGATCAAAGCAAGTTCGATATAACGCAGTTTCACCTATAACGCGGTAAGATTTTTTGGCTCCCAGCGTTATATCGAGGTAGAGGTGTACGTACTGTGGCAGAGCTACGACTTTGTCTCCGTGGGTCCCGTGCTTCCAGGCGGTTTATGCTAGCTTCAGAGGCTCACTGTGACCCTCCACGTAGCCCTTCTCTCTCTAGGGCCAGGGTTACAGTCTACTGAGCCCTTTTCATCATAAGCCAGCAAGGAGGTTGGTGAGAGAACTCCCACAGTCTCTGTTGTCCCTACGGGCTTATTCAAGAACAGTTTAGCCTCCTGTCCTGACAGGGGCCTGTCTTCCCTTCCCAGGAGGTTCTTTCTGTAGTGGTGGGTTGGTGGGAACCCAGGCCTGCCCTCTACTCCAGGTTCCAGCCCAGGGACCCTAGTGGCAGTAGCTGTTGGCAGCCAACCTTTCACCACCAGAGCTGCTACACTTCCCTGGGCCACTTCCCCACAGCTCTCCCGCGTCTCTCTCTTAATGCCTTCTTCACCCTTACCTTAGGGGTCCCTTCCAGTGGCTTGAGAGTATCTTCATTAGCCAGCCCTTCAGCCGCACTTCCTTTCCTCTGGCTCCCTTTTCTTTTCCCCCAGCCTGACGGTAGTGAGCCCATTTACAGTATCAGAGGGGCCTTAATTAGAGTCAGGTGTTCACATTAGCTTAACGGCCTCACCTGACTCTTTGCAGGTTAATTAGAGTCAGGCATCCACCCTAGCCTGGAGCAGCCCCCGCTCTGGTCAGTCAGGGAACAGAAAACTGCTTATCCAGTGGCCAGTATATCTGCATTCTATTAATCTGCTGTACCCAACTGGCCTGGGTCTATTACAGTACATATGAAATCATCTTTCCGAGGTAGCCTTGGAACAGGTTTTTTTGTAAGTATTCAAATTGTGTATATTTTAAAATGTAGAAGCCTTATTATTTAGCATTCAAGTTTATGGAAACACAGAAACAAGCAGTTATTGGATGTACATTTTTTTACTGCTAAAATCACCTGTATTGTATTCCTCATCCTCTGGGCTTTATTTCTACTAGTTAAAAAACACATTACTGTATTTCTAATGCACTGTTAAATATTCACACAGTTCCTTCGGGTTATAATTACAATCAGTGGTACTCAATTTCTATTTTCCCATATATTCTAAGGGAAAGCCATAAATACAATATGTCCATGTTGAGAATTAGCTAAGGCTAAAGCTATTAATTTCAGCTTCTTTCTACAGTGAGGTTGGCGATACCCATAGGTATCAGCATTTTAGAGGATCTGAAGTGAGGGCCTTGTAAATTCCTTTTTTTTTTTTTTTTTTTTTTTTTTTAATTGAAAGACAAAACTCTACAGAAAGTTGCTACTGATCCAGGACAAAGACTTAATCACTCTTCTTTATTATTGATTTAGTCTAGCAGGGTACTTAGAACTCGTGCCTTGATCCATTAAAGCACATGGTTGAATTTAAGTACACAGGTAGGCTCATTGATTTCAACAGGACTACTCACAAGCTTAAGAGTTTTGCTGGATCGTGGTCAGGGTACTCAAGACCCTTGCATGGTTGAGCCCAATTGGAGCTGAGCCAATAACTTGCAGTCAACAATTTATTCTTTGATGTAGCCTCTTTCTGCTTGCAAAATATCAATCACAACTTTGAATTATTCAACAAACATCTCGTTTTTTCACTCCATAGTTTGATGATGCATCCATGTCAGATACCTGATCTGTGTTTTAGTTGGGACTGCTCCGATAAGTCGCATGGTATTTGACTTTGAATTTCACTTTCTGAAAATATTGGTGTCAGTAAAACTCAAATAACTCCAGTGTTTGTTTTAAAAATTTGAGCAAATATTTGTGGAAAACATTTTTATTTGTCACCCATTCTACTCATTAGGTGCCAGCAGGAGAAGCACCAGGTCTGGTACCAGCTTATTTGTTTGGATGTTGAGGAGAGGGGTGAGGAAAAGCGGGTTCTGCTCTGGATGCACATGACTGAAATACACATGTCTTTTCAGTAGCAGGGTCTATGTACTTGTTTAGCTTTATGCACCGTGCGTAATCTCATTGTTTTCAGTGACAGAACTTCCATTGACTTCAGTAGGGCCAGGATTCCACCCTGATGGGTAATGTTAAGCACAAGCATGTCTTTGCAAGATCAGGGCCACAGTCTGATCTTCTTCCACTCCTATCTCCAGACCTTCTTCCAATCAACCCTTTATTTACCCCCTCTCCTTCCAGCTGCTGCTCAATACAGGCTTCCTGGAAAAGTGTCAACTTCAGATTTCGCCTCTGAGTTGTGTTTACGTAATGAAAGATAACAGGAGGGCAATAAAAAAAAAAAAAGATGGACTGAGGGTGATATATGCCTAGCTTCATTGCTCAGTCATCTAGCGGGTACTTCCCTTTTCTGTGTAGATGTCATCCTTTAGAATGTAAGCTTTTCACAGCAGGGGCTGCATTTTCACTTTTGTCTGGAAGGCACCAAGCATGGCTATGGTCTTAAATGAATACTAGTTGGGGAGACATCACAGTTGTTGTTTTTTTTAAAACAGCGTGCGGTGACATCTCCTTTTGTTAATGTTCAGTTTCCAAACTGTGGTTAATAAAGGCAAACAAGACATTAACTGTTGGTCTGGGGTAATTATTTTTGTTCGAAAGTCATGTTTTCCAGTTCTTCAGATGCTAAGCACCAGCATCTCATTTTACTTGGGTTTTGCAAGTACTCAGCACATCTCCTGCTTAGGCCCAGTATTCTCATCTATTTGTGAAGAATGAAATTGGGAGATTTTCATGTTAACTGCACTATCATACCAGGCCTCATCCAGATGGGAATTGTGTTTTTAGGAAACATAAAATGCGACTCATGAATTCATTAGAAGCCCTTGTGCACAGTAAGGGCTTGATATTTCTGAACCCTTGTTCTCAAAGCTACTAGAGATATCCTCAGTTTAAATAAACATCTAACTACATAACTCTGCTAGGGACTTGTATATCTAAGGTACTTTTACCAAAATAGACTTGATAAGGTAACAAGGCAGAATCAGGGACCTTAAATAATTTGTGTGTGTGTATCATCAGTTTGGGATAACTTTTTGTTTTATATTTATGGTCTGTGCAAGCAAATTCACAAACTATAGCAAGTAGCCTATGAAAAGCTTAAGAAATTTATTAGATGCACAGATAAAGTGCTGTTACAGAGAAACTTGTGTAAATAAATCTATTTTAAAATAAATAAGATACAGTTTAAAAAAAACCACCTTTGACTTCTTGTTTTAACAAAAATCATCAACCTAAGTTTTAAGGTCAAGGTGAAATAGGTCGTAACTATAGCAGTGATCGTGATCTATATCAACGAATTGAGTCTCCTGTTTGTTTTAGGTCTCCCAGAAACAGGAAGGCTGTTCCAAATGTATACATTAGACATAGTTCCTTTTACAGAAACATTTTTGTAATAAAAAGTGTGGTTGCTCAAATACATGTTAAAATATTTAACAAGGAAACAATTTTCTCCTGATCCACTTGATCTTTTAAACAAGATGATGAATTTATTCCTATGATGCAGCCCACAGGAGGGAACAGAAGTAAACATCCTCCCTTAACTCAACGCCATTTTGCTTTTTTTAAAGGACTACACAATTGCATACGAGAGCAAGAATATCCATTTGAGTCATCCCTTTCTTCAAAGGTAGAGCCCAGTGATATACCATATTCTTTACTTTAATATATTGTTTTTGCCTTCATCTCAAAAGGTCCATTTGTCTTCAAATAAGATGCATGCTGGAAGCAGAGATTCCCTTTACGTGTCTGACAATGGGATCTTTGCTGCTCTTTCCACCCAGGGAAGATCTTGTTAAACTGTCACTGTCTGAGTTTTGGGTGCTGCTATGGTTTTGTGCTCTGTTGTCCATAATTTCAGGCACTTGTGGGCTAGAATGGCTGTTTGTCTGAAGTCAATGCAATATGTCCAACACAGAAAAATCACCATAGCTTCCTTCATACACTCAGGATTTCAAATTCTTCTTCCAACTCTAGCAGTTTATCGGTAGATTCAATAAGTTCTGCCAACAAAAATGAAAACAATATTAACAGACATGCCTATTGCTTTTCACTTTGGAAGACATTTTAGGGCAAGATATGCTGGAAATCACATTTAGCCTTTGTAGATAAATCTGGTGTTCAAGTTGCTACCGGTATTAACTAATGGATTAGCTAATCACATTGAGCATAAAAGACACTTAGCAAAGCATAGCTGCTCCACCTGGGATTATTTCTCCTACTGGTAAAGCGAGGAACATATTGCTGCACTATAGTCCACTCAAGTCAATACTGTACCTGCTCCTGACGTTGTCACTTCTGGTTTTGCTGGAGGTATGAAAGGAGGCCAATGCGCTGGATGATTTTGAACTAACTCAAACATCCGAAGACCCCGCTGCTTCAGAATCTCCTGAGGATAAAGCACTTTCTCTTAAAAAAAAGTATCATATTAATGGAAAGTCCAACAACAGATCTACTTGGCTGGTCAGTCAAAACAGTTACAAGAGGCAAATAATAATAATAAATTAATTATGCCCCTATGAAATGGAATCCTGTTATACTTTGTGCAACCCTCATTAAAGGTCATCATTTTACAGATCTACATATAGTGAATTTCTTCAGTCAGAAACATGCATGGAAGGTAGATCTCTCAAGCTCTACCACAGATTGTCAGTCATGTTATAATTAGCTCTGATACACACACAAGCAGATCAAATTAAAAGAATATCCCATTGTTACCTTTTGTACAAGACTACACCAGTTATCAAAGTCTTTTTCTTCTTTACAAAAGAAGCCCTGAAGGGGGGAAAAACAGAGATTTTTCCTCTGCAAGTTACATGCAATATTAGCAAATAAGGCAGAATTAAGCCACTGTTTTGCAGTAGCACATACTAGCATCATGTGTAAGACCCAAAATATGTATCAGACTAAGGACCAGATCCTGAACTGGAGTAAAACGGAGGCCACAGGGAAAAAAAGTTGAAAAAACAAGGAACTGACATGACATTTGCCACTCATCATACTGAATGCTCTGCTCTTTTCCCCCCCTCTCCTGTTCATCGGTTTTATCTATTTAGATTATAAACCCTTTAGGGCAATAACTGTATTATGTTTGTACAGTGCCTAAAGCAAATCTCAATTTGAGGCCTGTAGGCTCCATCAGAATGCAAATAATAATAATTGCAGCTCCCCTGAAGTCAACAGGGCCATGCCAATTTACCACAATTGTCCATCTGGCTGCAAGTTTAACCTGCCACTGGGGATGAACTGCCATATACGTGACACTTCCAAGAGTGGCTGTATTGTGAATATCTGACTCAGTTATATTACTGAATGGACTGGTTGGTTGTGCTTTTTCATGGTTTGAACATTTACATAGTTAAATGTTACTCACTAACAGCAGATACTTTCCCGCTAAAAGTGATATTATTAATAACGTATGTTTACATCACCTTTCATTCGGGAATTCAAAACACTTTACAAACATTGGGCCAATTCTGATCTTACACAGAGGAGGAGAATGAAGAGTAACCGTACTGGTGTCAATAGTACGTGTAACTGGACTGAGATCAGAACTAGGGTCATTAAGAATTGTAATATCCCTGTAAAGTATCCTGGACTGTAACTACTAATAGATTGGTAAACTGAGACATGAAGGAGAGGAAGAACCCAGGAATTCTGATTAAATTCCCTGCTTCAACCACTACACTAAAATGGCTCTGCAAAAAGTGGAGGCTTCTCTATTACCAAACATAATTAGCCACCCCCATTCAAATATCCAGTTTCCTACTGGAGGGAACATTAATCTCAGCAAAATTACTGTATAGTTTATCAATGAGGATAAATTCGGCATATGTGGACACTTTTTTGTAGTCATTCATGATTCTGCTCAGGCAAATGCACAACTACCCTTATCAGTACTTATGTGCAGTTTTGTAATAGAAGTTCATGCTACATTTCTTCCTAACACTTACTAATGCTACGGAGGGATCCAAATTCATGATCTTCATTCGATGTGGGGCCTGCTGACAATGGAAGCTCTGGTCATCAACCAGACCGTTTTCCTCCAAATCTACAAAAATCTGAGTGGTGTGAGGGTCCAAATAGATGAGCTCGTTTCCTGTGCAGGTAAAATATATTTAATCATTTGTAATACCACTGAAGCGGGACTTGGAAGATAGAATTTAGATCATCATCATGATTAAGACTGATTAGACTTTTGCTAGCTATGTGTTCTGAAATTGAGAAATTCAGGAAGAGTGTGGCCCCATATCTGGTATAGCTTACTGTGGTGATTTGTAAGGCTTTTTACTTTGACCCTTATTTTCCTTTATTTCCTAGAGCTAACATAACATTTAAAACTTTTAAAATGTAAATTCTGCCATTCAGCAGGTCACAGGATGACCACAAATATAATCTAGAACTCAGTTAGGCATTCAACATTGTTTCATATTAGACTCACAGAGATTGAAACAATGAGGTCTGAATAAAAATACCACAGATTTTATCGAAAAATGGACTGATAAGTCATAAATAGAGAGCAATTATTCATAACAAGTCAAATGGGGTGAAATTTAAAAAAAGATTAAGTCTAGCACTGAATGTTACTATAACTGACAAAGGAAAGGCAAGTGATAAAATACATTGATGCAAGGCTAGCATTAAAAGACAGCAAGATCTAGTGAAGTTAGAGAAGTGAGCAGAAATCAAACAAATGAGCTTTAATCAGGGAAAATGCTGAGTTATACCACTTGAAAAAAAGTGAAGCAAAAGAATAAAACGTAAGACTACAGATTAGGAAACAATACATGACTACATGCTAGTAACATCTGCCTAATAGATTTGCCAAATACTATTCAACTAGCCTTTCATATCACATGACTCTTGCTGATGTTGTTACTTATTTCTATACCCAACTTCACTCGACCTTTCCTATAAAAGATCATAGTGTATTATTCTGGAGTTATCTAATTATTCGTTTCTCCTACTCTCCTTATCTCTTTCCTTAACTACGTTTCCCAGCAGCTTCAGTTTTACACTTCCTGATGTTTCTTCAGACCAGGCCCAGTTCCTTAGCCCATCAACTTATCTGTAATTATTTTTTTCCTTACCTAAAAATCCTATGAAATAGTAGGCATTATTTGGTTTCCCTCCTAATGCCCCCAAAGACTGTGGCATCTTAAAACATTCCTAGAGATTCAAAAGGGAAAAATGAAATTTTAGTTGTCCTGTATATTGGTATCACAGATATCTAAACTGTTTGTAAATGACATGCAGCATAACAATCATTTCAGGGACAGCGACTTACTTTAAAAGCATCAATATAAATCGGATTGATGTGATTTATCCCCAGTCGTAGAGGTATAATGAGCAAGAGAGGTTTCCAGCCTGAGCAAAACCCTGCTGTGTTCTTGTTTTGACTGAGAGCACTTCTGTGTGAGAGCATGCTGCCACGTGCAGCACTGCTGCTCTGAGGAGGGGACCAACACATTTTCTCTGTGGGAGCAAGGAGGAGAGACTTGTCAATTCACTAAGGACTACATTATAAATGTTCCAAATGAATGGAAAATTAAGATGCTTTTTCAGAGATCTTTCTTCCAAAAGGTCCCAGCTTTTAAGGAGGGTAGTGTGTACGTTGTGGCTGTATAATTACAAGTAATCCTGGTAGGCACAGATTAGGGTGCCAGGTTAACAAGAAGACGTTAGGGCTCAGGGCGATGACTAGGAGATGATAATTTACTAGATGAAGTTATGTTTAACCAAACAACATTTAGCACCGGAAGCTTTCTCGGATAACGATACGTCTTGCTAGAGGAGAGGGTAACAAGGTGATGCGCAGTACTGGGTATCCCAAGAACTGTCTCTCACACATACACACACACCTTATTTCTCAGCTAGGGTAATAATTAAGGCCCAAAATGCATTTTTTTTTTTTAACAACTACATTTTTTAGGGTACTTTGGCAAATAAACTCTAATTTAAGTGAGAGCCAGTGTTTGTAACTTACTGATGTCTTCAATGACCACGGTATTGTCCATAGATACATAAACTGCTAAGGAATTCCATTCATCAAATAAAGCAAGCTTTCTGGAAAACATTAAGGTAGTAATTAGTAAAAAAGTGTATTGTCATTCAGAAGCCAAAAGTGTAGCTTGGCACTCAATGCAATTAGATGGCTCTTGAATAAATATGTAATAATTTCTTATAAAAAACAGCATTCATTGTATTTTTTATTAGTCAAAGTATAATTATGACATAGAAGAGAATGCAGAGATAGCATTAAGGTGAAATAACTTGTGTGAAAAATTTCTTGGCTCATTGCCAATAGCAAAGCAATTGAACCCTACAACCTTGCTACTTTATATTTATTACTATTTGTGTTGCAGTCACACCTAGGAGCCCCAGTCATTGCCCAGGACCCCATTGTGTTAGGCGCTGTGTAACACAGACCAAAGAGACAGTCCCTGCCCCAAAGAGCTTACAACCCACTCGTACATGTGAGTAACTTTATGCCTGAGTAGTTCTACGGAATTCAGTGAGACTACTGACGTGCGTAAGTGTTGGTAGGATCAGGCCATAAATCTGTCAAACTCAGCCCCAGACCAAGTGAAGAAAGAAAAATTGTACAACAAAGTTAAGTCACGGACACTATGCTGAGTCTGCTATACTTTTTTTATGTAGTTCAAAAGAACATTCTTAAATGAATATACTGCCTTACAGCTCTCTGACTATGTAAACCGCTATCTAGGTTTCATTGTTAAACTCTAGTTAAAGCAGCTAAAATTAAATATAACTTGTAGGGCTCTCAAGCAATTAAAAAAATTAATCGTGATTAATTGCTCTATTAAACAATAATAGAATATCATTTATTTAAATATTTTTGGACATTTTCTACATTTTCAAGTATATTGATTTCAGTTACAGCACAGAATACAAAGTGTACAGTGCTCACTTTATATTTATTTTTGATTACAAGTATTTGCATGGTAAAAAAAACAAAAGAAATAGTATTTTTCAATTCACCTAATACAAGAACTGTAGTGCAATCTCTTTATCATGAAAGTTGAACTTACAAATGTAGAATTATGTACAAAAAAACCTGCATTCAAAAATAAAACAATGTAAAATTTTAGAGCCTGCAAGTCCACTCAGTCCTACTTCTTGTTCAGCTAATCTCTCAGACAAACAAGTTTGTTTACATTTGCAGGAGATAATGCTGTCCACTTCTTGTTTACAATGTCACCTGAAAGTGAGAACAGGCTTTCTTGTGGCACTGTTGTAGCCGACGTCGCAAGATATTTACATGCCAGATGCACTAAAGATTCACATGTCCCTTCGTGCTTTAACCACCATTCCAGAAGACATGCGTCCATGCTGATGACAGGTTCTGCTGAATAACAATCCAAAGCATGTTCATTTTCATTATCTGAATCAGATGCCACCAGCAGAAGGTTGATTTTCTTTTTTGGTGGTTCAGGTTCTGTAGTTTCCACATCGGAATGTCACTCTTTTAAGACTTCTGAAAGCATGCTCCACACCTCATCCCTCTCAGATTTTGGAAGGCACTTCAGATTCTTAAACCTTGGGTCGAGGGCTGCAGCTATCTTGAGAAATCTCACATTGGTACCTTCTTTGCATTTTGTCAAATCTGCAGTGAAAGTGTTCTTAAAATGAACAACATGTGCTGGGTCATCATCCTAGACTGCTATAACAGGAAATATATGGCAGAATGTGGGTAAAACAGAGCCAGGGACATACAATTCTGCCCCAAGGAGTTCAGTCAGAAATTTAATGCTTATTTTTTTAATGAGCGTTATCAGCATGGAAGCATGTCCTCTGGAATGGTGGCTGAAGCATGAAGGGGCATATGAATGTTTAGCATATCTGGCACATAAATACCTTGCAATGTCGGCTACAAAAGTGCCATGCACATGCCTGTTCTCACTTTCTGGTGACCGTGTAAATAAGAAGAGGGCAGCATTATCTCTCTAAAATGTTAACAAACTTGTTTCTCTTAGCGATTGGCTGAACAAGAAGTAGGACTGAGTAGACTTGTAGGCTCTGAAGTTTTACATTGTTTTGTTTTTGAGTGCAGTCATGTAACAAACAAAAAAATCTACATTTGTAAGTTGCACTATAGTACTTGTATGAGGTGAATTGAAAAATACTATTTCTTTTGTTTACAAATATTTGCACTGTAAAAATGATAAAGCAAAAATAATATACACTTTGATTTCAATTACAACACAGAATACAATATATATGAAAATGTAGAAAAACATCCAAAATATTTAATAAATTTCAATTGGTATTCTATTATTTAACAATGCAATTAACTGTGATTAATCTTGATTAATTTTTTTAATCGCAATTAATTTTTAGTTAATCACGTGAGTGAACTGCAATTAATCGATAGCCCTAATAATTTGTTTTATCACTCTACACTGTCAGTATAAATAAATAAATAAAATTAACCTACTTATAAACATGATTTTTTTCATATAAAACTTTTGTAGAAGAAATGCATTATTTTTCTTACGTATCTCACGTGTTTGATTTAGGGACAGTCCAACCTATGCCCCTGTCGGACATGGACAAGTCATGTGACTTCTGTGACTCAAATAATCCTTGTATATAATTGAGTAAAAGCAGGACCTCAATTCAGACTACACATGGGTTTAAGCCAACGCCTCCAAACTTTACATTGTTTCAAAATCCAGAACTGGAGGTCATCACTCTTAGACAGCTATGCTGCATCTGAATTGAACTATTCAGGGTAAATACATTCTAAATACGTATGTATGTTTTGCTTACTTTAGCACTTGTGCAACTGTATTTGGTCCAAACCATTCTCCAATCGACTTCCCCTCTCCTACACCCATCTGTGCTGTTTTTATGAGAAACAAAACACACACAAAAGAGCACAAATATCAGGTGACGACATGTATTAAATGGCACATCCTATTAATATTTTGTTGCACACATTCTAAAACTATTGTAAAATATTTACATTGAATCAGATTATTGATATACTATCTATTCTCTTTTTACAACTGCAATGAAGATTAGTTTCCATAATTGAGAAGAAGCCTCTAAACCGCATTCTGACTACTGGCACCCCTCACTACAATCTATGGTGCAAGAGAATCTATGTTGGTAAGCACTAATTTAATATTATTAAAGTCTGGTCCCTAACAGTCACATATTCTATCCAGAGCTAGTTGTTGTTTCTATTGTACATGCTGAATTTAGACCTCAGTATATATTTGGTATGCATTAAATCTTCTATATATATATTTATCCACTTTGTCTCCATAATCCTTCTTTTGTTTTGTGATTATATATTTTAAAATTAATACACTTTAAACACATTAGCAACTTGAGGCATAAAAAGCTGATGATACCTGCCCTTACCCATTTGGTGGATAGAATAACAGCAATCTTTTCTGTCTATGAAGCATCGCAAGATCTTGTGATATTCCTCAGGTTGTTTTTTGTGTCTCTCCCAATGCCAATCTTACAGGGAAAAAGTTATATAGATTAACTGACAAACTCCAAACTCTGTCTAGCATTTCATACTACGCAATCATGAGTGGAGCTTCCCCCCCCCCCCAATTTACACCAGTTTTACTGAGCAAAGTTTGACCCCAGAGGGCAACAACTCTTTAGAGGCAGCATCGGGAGAATATTTAATTTAATAAAGAAAAGAGAAAAGGTCAAGAAGATGCCAAAATAAGTCTCAGCTTCTCTCACTAGGAAGATGTGTGTTGTTCTGTCACAGAAAAGGTGCTGAATTTATTCCCGAATGCAAAAAAAACCCAATAAAATGGAAGAGACTGCTTTTCTAAAATACAACAACATGAACCGAGAATGTTTTCACAAAAATCTTGATAGTCAGAAGGAGACAATAAGAACTTGTCTACACATTTTTTGTACCACTTTACTGTATCAGTTTAGAAACAGATATAGTTAAAAGTGGCACGCAATATAAAATGGACACATATCAGACGTCAAGAATTATAACATTCAAAAACCAGTTGGAGAACACTTCAATCTCCTTGGCCACTCGATTACAGATCTAAAAGTCGCAATATTACAACAGAAAAACTTCAAAAACAGACTCCAACGAGAGACTGCTGAATTGGAATTAATTTGCAAATTGGACACCATTAAATTAGACTTGAACAAAGACTGGGAGTGGATGGGCCATTACAAACATTGAATCTATCTCCCCTTGTAAGTATTCTCACACTTCTTATCAAACTGTCTGTACTGAGCTATCTTGATTATCACTTCAAAAGTTTTTTTCACTTGCTTAATTGGCCTCTCAGAGTTGGTAAGACAACTCCCACATGTTCATGCTCTCTGTATGTGTGTATATATATCTCCTCAATATGTTTCACTCTATATGCATCCAAAGAAGTGGGCTGTAGCCCACGAAAGCTTATGCTCTAATAAATTTGTTAGTCTCTAAGGTGCCACAAGTACTCCTGTTCTTTTTACACAAAGTAAAACTATTTCCCTATGCTTATTCCCCCCACCCTACAGTTCCTCCTCTCTCCTTGTCAATTGCTGGAAATGGGCCATTTTCATTACCACTACAAACAGTTTTTTTTTCTCTCCTGCTGATAAAAGCTCACCTTAACTGATCACTCTCCTTATAGTGTGTATAGTAACACCCATTGTTTCATGTTCTCTGTGTGTGTATATATATCTTCCTACTGTATTTTCCACTACATGCATCCGATGAAGTAGGCTGTAGCCTACGAAAGCTTATGCTCAAATAAATGTGTTAGTTTCTAAGGTGCCACAAGTACTCCTGTTCTTTTTGCAGATACAGACTAACACGGCTGCTACTCTGAAACACTCTTGACTGTGGACTAAGTTACATCAGTATATAGTTGTCCACTGTAGGGTCTGTACCCATTTAACTATATTGGTATAAACTCACATCCCTAACCAAAATAGCTGACTCGATACAAGAGCTCTATGTATATTAGGCCTAAGATTACTCTGGTTGTGATCCTGGAATGCTCATACAGGTGTATGGGTCCACACTTAGTGAATTCTGTTGCAGGATTGGGGCCTTAGGCTGGAGGTAGGGAAGCTATCTGCATATTTGCCTATAATTTGCAGTATTGTTGTAGCCATGTTGGTCCCAGGATATTAGAGAGACATATCTAATGGGTGAGGTGAGGTCATATCTTTTATTGGACCAAGCTATCAAGCTACAGAGAACTCTTCTTTATTTTGCCAATAAAGCAATTAGTACAATTTGAGCACCACATAAACAATGAACACGATGACAGGAAATCAGTCAGGCAGCAGCAGTTTCCACCCAAGCACCAGCTTCATTATTTGTCATGCAAAGCTCTATTAAATAATAAAGATAGGAGTCCCACTTGGTAAATCCTTTGTTCTTATTTTTCTGCTTAACCACCAAAACAATTCACCCCTGCTGGGTCAGGATGAAACACTAACATTTTCCTCTTGTCTGGAGACATCATTTACTAGTAATTTCTGCCAATCATTCTGAAGAGACTTTCACTAGTTACTTTAGCCCTACATCTCTCAGTGGATGTCTATTGTACTGGGCTTTCACACCAACATTAAATGTCACCCAAATAACCACAGAGCCTCCTAACATATTTCACAAAGTAACAGTATGCTCACCCCTTCCTAAATGCCTGCAAATCAGAGCCTGTGCCAGCATCATCTGTCCACATCGCAGCATGCATCCCCAGCCAGTATCGGATGAAGGGCCCGTGCCTCCTATTAACAAGAATTATTACAATTAATATGGGTTCTTGACTGAAATTAGCACCACAAAAATCAAATTGTTGAAATCTAGGTAGTCAAGAAAAGTTCGGCTTTTTAACAAGTGTCCTGTGGATGAAGAGAAACTGAGAAAGAAAGATTTTTATCACCAGTCTGGCTTCTAGATAAGTGTTCAGGATCTGCCAAGCAGATCTGTGTGGAAACCAGTACTGATACAGCTCAATAGAAGCAGAATTCTTTGTTGATGCAAGACAAAAGGCGAAGAAGCAACCATGTAAAGCTGTTTACCAAACTGTGCCAAATTTAAGGATAAAATGTACAAGCCTATATGCAGGACTCTGTACACTGTGCTAAGCCAAACCTAAACTCTGCAGTGAGGTCCTATGAGCACTATGAAACCAAAACAACAGATGGAGGTGTAGGCAGCGGACCTAATGGAATTCAATATGGAAAGAGTAATGCAATCAGTACAGTAACCTCCATATTTTAATATTACATTATAATCTCCCCTCATTTTCAGTTTGCAATATACTAAAAGTATATATGTGTGCCTATATATTAGTAAATGCGCTGTATAAGCTTTGAGGGTTTGAAGCTGGAGGTTTTAGCATTTGGGTAGGAAGCAAATATAGATTTTGGCATCTGGTGAAACACTGGACACAGTTTGGATCTGTGGAGCTATGAACACTGGTTAATATTGAGAATCTATTAAGATTATTAGGAAATGTCACACCTCTCCAAGCTATTGCTTCAAACTGGCTGCAGATTCAGGATGACAATATTTTCTATTTGTTTATGTTTTAAGGCTGTCTTCACAATCATGAAGGCTAGAAAGATAAATCAGTTTAAACTAAATGCTTAGATTCTTAAGCACAGTTCTGCATCAAGAAGTGGATTCTATGGTAAATTCCAAGAGTTTCCTTTATTTGTTTCTATTTAATTTAGTGCTTGAGAAAGATGCTTAATTGGCTGTCCTGGAAATCTATCAACAGAACAGGCAGAGCATGGACAGTGACAATGAAAGCATCTTTGATGCTGTTCCATCAATCTGTCTCAACTCTGTAGTAGAAAGACTACCTCTAGTGGTGAATGGTACTTACTGTCTAGTAAGATTGCCAGTAGTGTTGTCAATTATGCCAATTGTGGTGATTTTTGCAATCGTGGCCGAGACCAGGAAATAACAGGTTTTGGGCCATCTACCTACCTGAGCTAGATTTAAATTGGCAACCTAAAGGTAAAGGCTCTATCCCATTACCAATCCCATAACTTATCCAGTCCAAATGTTTCTTTGGGTGATGATTTGGAAAATAAATTTAATTTAACCAGAAAGTTTAAGTAGGATTTTTTTTATTCCTTTAATGTGAAATCATTTTTAGTGTGTGAACAAACAGGTTAAACATATTTCTTGCACAACAGATCTACTGTGCATTCCCCATTCATTTGAGAAACATTCACAAGTTATTTCCACTGTTCGTATAAACACAAGGACCAAATTTTCTACTGGTGTAAGTGAGCACAACTTTCAGTACTAGGGAATCTGGCCCACTATTTCCTTTTTGTTTTCAGAAGGAGTAAAAGTCATACCTCTAAGTCCTCTAATAATTTAGGAGTTAGTAAGTTCATATACAATAATTTGATTCCTCCCATAATTTTAAATTTCCAACAAGACAATAATACAAGAAAAATTGGGCTGTTCACCCTAAAGCATACCCACCAATTGGTGAAAATTTTTTTCTGTATGTAAACCACAGACGAGCACTTATATCCAACAATAATTTAGATTTGTCTGGAATTAAAAAACAAAGCCATATTAAACTACCAACTCCTGACTGCAAAGATCATTTGGCATTAACGCAACATATAGAATATACAGGAGATGTCTATTTACTTTCAGATACAAAAATAATACATGTATCACTTTAAATATTCAGCACACTTTACACATACAAACTAAACAAAGTCTATTGGGTAAGCGTGCAGTAATTATTAGCCATCAAAGGTTAAGAGAATAGCATTTCTGTTTTGAATAGCTAAGCTAAACTTGAACCAGCTACTGCTATGCAGAACTATCCCCTCTGAACAAAATTATACACAGGACAAGAAACTTGGAGAATTTCTACTAAAAGGGACCAATTTGGGTCTGAAGGAGGAAGGATGAGCCTAAGTGCATAGCCCTTCTTCCTCCACTGAATCCTCTTCTGCATATAAAGGGACAAGACTTGCAGAGAGAAAATAAAGTGAGATGTCCACTTTCCATGGTATCTTCTCCCTCACACTTGCAAGGATTTCACCACCTTAGAGAATGTTAACCCTGAATACTGCAGAGATAGGTGGGAGCATGTCCAAGCAGACCAATGATGCCTGGTCTACACTGGGGGGAGGGGTCGATCTAAGATACGCAACTTCAGCTACGAGAATAGCGTAGCTGAAGTCGACGTATCTTAGATCGAATTAAAATTACTTACTTTGCGTCCTCGCGGCGCTGGATCAATGGCCGCGGCTCCCCCGTCGGCTTTGCTTCCGCCTCTTGAACGGCTGGAGTTCAGCAGTTGACGGGAGAGTGATCAGGGATTGATTTATTGCGTCTACACTACACGTGATAAATCGATTCCTGATAGATCGATCGCTACCCGCCAATCCGGCGGGTAGTGTAGACGTACCCTTAGAGCCTTGCTTCTCATTGGGGAAGGAAGACCACAAAAGTCACAGGAAGATATTGACTAGAGCGCCTACAAACAACAATATCGGGTTTTTGTGAAAAAGCCATGGCACTCTGGAAATACCCTGGGATATGTGCAATTTCACTGCAAATCTCAGGAGATAGACCTTGCTGGTTCCCCCACCCCTCCTTTCCCTAACAGGATAATGTGACAAAAAAATTCCACATATGTGATCTGCTCCCTATCCTAGACAAAGTTTATTGTTCACCATATACTATCTGGCTTCCAACATAACTCAATAGACAAAATAAATAAAGCTGTGACTTGTTATACATAACCAATCACCAGTACGATTGAACAAACTAAATCCTCTAAACTGATAGTTTATCAAGCTCTGTTTATTCCAATTCCTGAGCACAATCTGTCTCATTTTAAAAACTCCGGAGTGACATTCAACTTTGACATTAGAATTACTAAACCACTAAGCTGGCCAAGAAAAGTAAATAACAGTATATTTTTGCAAAAGAATTTTTAAAAAGATTAGGTTGTAGTCAAATTGTGCTAGTTTTGTACCAATCTCATCAAATGTTTATATTGACTCTACAGTATTTCTAATCTCTCCAAGCTTTTTTTTTTTTTTTTTAATTTCCAGGATTCCCTCAAAGGCACTCTACAATTCTTGAGGATCTAACTATTTACTGCCTTTATCCCCTTACTGTTAACCTTGGACTGACTTGTCCTTCCAGCCATTATCAGGATTCTTCAACAGTACCCTAGTGCCCATCAACGCCACTACTGAGTTGACTACCGGATCCAGGAAATGCAACACAAGGTGCTACCCCACACACTCTCCAAGGAACAAAAACCAGCCCTGCCCTCTCATTCCTGTGTGGTAGGGTATTGTGCTATAATTACATTGCAGGGACAGCTTCTAGGGAAAGTGTTTGTTTATTTTTATCAAATTAAAACAGAATATGCATCAGAAAGATAAAGTCAATTTTTACTACTTAATTTTTAAAACACATTAACTTTCAACTGAGAATATCATGCTGTAAGAAATTCATACATCCAGCATAGTGGATTTGTTGTTGTCTGAACCACTGTACAGACTTAATTTTTTGGTCTCCTGATACTGTTAATTGCATTTACTGCTGATTCATTGATTACTGCATTTATTGCTGATTCATTGCATTTACTTTGTATTTTAAAATGCAATTTATCACCAAGGGCACATGGCTTCAATGTATGCTTCTGATTTACAAAGTTACTAAGGATATGACTGATATTTGCTGCATCACCACATCCAGTTTTAAAATGAGCTACAGTAGATACTCAGCTGCCTGCTCCTTTCTTATAGGAGAAACTTGAAAGGGTATTGTCAGGATTTTACTTATTTTGGTGGGAAGATTCTGTGTGAAAAATGTTTTCTCCGTAGCTGATTCTTTAATACCTGTGATATTATCTTTCTTAAAGTCAATTATTTATTCCATGACATTTGATGACTAGAAATAACCCGCCTAATGTGAGACTAATCTGCAGGATAAGCGTGCCCTGTTTGCAGAAACTGTGACGGATGCTGCACTCTCTACTTCCGTAAACCTCCTGCCAGCTAATTTCATATTAGGGTGACAACCACTGTATATAGTTGGTCTACTTTTTAGAAGTGAGTTTATTTTTGCTCTCAGATTTATGTAGTGATAATGTTATGAACACTGAGGAAATATTGTGGCATATAAACTATGAAAGTTATAGCTGGATTTTCATTATAAACATACCTGTCTTAAGGTGGTATTGCCTTCCCAAGATCCACACTGACCCATCTGTTTCTGGAAATTCTTCTAGGTATTCCGATAAGACAGTGGTCTGGTTTTCATACTTGGATAAAACTGAACAGGAACACAGAAAGTTCAAACTCCATTTTGCTCCCTTTGTTCTTTTTGGAGCACTTTGCATTCTTATACTGCAAGTGCAACTAGCTCCAACCAGTGATCTAGTCCAGGGTTTTGGGGTTTTCTGACCAATACTTCATTCTGGCAGCAGCATTTACCCCGTTTTCCCTCAGCAATATGCACTGCCATTAAAATGGACAGTGTTCATTGCAATTTTGTATTTTAACTCTCCAGAAGCTCTGGGAGACACTATAGCTGGGACCTGGACCCTAGAGCCCAGGGAGGAAATCCTGGTGCTATAGAAGCATATGGCAGTTTTTGCCACTGACTTCAATGAGGTTAGGCTTTCACCCACAGTCTAGGTAAACAATTTATGTCCCAGTCCTGCACTAAACACAGTTAACTTTAAGCACATGAACCGTTCCACTCATTTCAATGTCACTACTCTTTCTTAAAATTAAGCACATGCCAAGTGTAAGTGGGACTGGGGCCTTAGTCTACTAACTGGAGATTTTGGATCTCCTGTTCAGAAAAAAATACTATTATTCACCATAAAACCTATTTACTTTAAGATGAATAAATAAAACACTTATATTGATTCATTCTATTATGGAAGTTCATTTGATTATGATTTTTGGTGGGAGTTTATGGAAATGAAGGAATAACTCTTCAGCTGTAAAACTAAGCAATTGTTTTTATTTGCTTTGATTATTTTTTCTTTCAAATGACATTTAAGAAATACACAATGAACTGATGTTTAAATATTAAATCATAAATATACATGCTAAATATGTTCAAGTTGCATGTAATATTAATATTACTAAAGATTTATAGGCTCCACTCAGGATTACCCATTTTTCTAGGCACTGTACAAACACAGAAAAAGATACAGTCCTGGTCCCAATGAGTTAACAATCTATGACCCAATCTTGAAAACACTTTTGCATGCAAGTAATCACAATGAATTCAACAGGACTCCTCACGTGTGTAAAGTTAATCGTGTGTCTTTCTTTCCTAAATGTCATTAATAGCAACTATACACAGCCACTACTCTTGCTGTAAAATAGTTAAATGTGATTACACAATAGACTACAAAATACACTGGCTTAGAACAAAATGTCTACAGAAAAGATAAAGTTGACATTCTGGCCAACATTTTAGAATACTTAGTCCCATTTTAACTATTAGATAAATTAGGTCCAAAATGTAGGCTCTTTGTTGAAGAAAAAAGATTTTACCACAACTAATAACATTTTTCATGACATTTTTAAAATGTCAAACAAAAGTTTTATACTATTTAAACATTTCTTAAAGTATTGAAATGTAAACATGGCACCATTTGTGTACGTGCCTGAAAATCAGAAGTCAAAACTGACTATACTCAGAAAGTGAAACTGACCAAGCTTTACTGTCCAAGGTAAGCAGAATGCAAAATTAAACAGAATAAAGAATAAAAAATATTGACTTTTTAAATTGATTTAAAAAATATTAGGTAAAAAACATACTTAAGGAAACATGCAGTTTTAAAAATATTATACTTTAGAATACCCTAGAGAGTTTCACACAAACCCTCCTCAGATTAGGGTATATTAACCAGAAAATTAGCATTCAGACATCATGTATATTTTTCTATTCAACTTGAATAAATGATTGCTAGTTACTGTAAAACAGTGAACTTTAACTATAAGTAGTGTGTGTTTGTGTGGGTGTGTACGTGTATATATATATATATATACACACACACACCTAGACCTGCTTCTACTGGAGCCAATGGGAAAAATCCAGGGCCATAAGGAAGGATTCACTTAATACCAAGACATTTACATGCATAATCAAAATGATTTCTGATATCATAATCTAGTGAATGCATATTGTGTTGACACATTTTATTTATTCCATCCAGTTGGCAGTCACAACTATCAAAGGATCAGCTTCATGGCTGCAGAGAAGTTGATGACAGCACTATGCTAAAAAGCTTGAAGTAAATATCCATGCAACAGTAGAGCAGACTTTAACATTACAAATCTGGGCCTAGATGCTGCAATTTACTGAGTGTAGTGACAGGACTTAGGTGAATTACATACTTTGAATACTTCTAAATTTACCCAATAAACATATCTAAATATGACAACTGTACAAGTGGATTTACTCAGCTCTATTTTTTGTCCTAAGACTTATATTAAGTGGACACCAACACCTAGTTTAGGCTCCATATTTAGGTTCTGTAAAGAGTTTCACAAAAATTTAATAATGTACTGCGTAGCATTTTAATGTTAAAGCTGTTGTTAAAAGTTTTTAATTTAACCATTCTACTGTAAGATTTCCAGCAAAGAACATCAGAAAGGCAAAGGTGAAACTGACAAATGTGTTTTCACTGGTCAGCTGACTGAAGTGCAAAAAGTAAACAGCATGGATGGAAACAAAATCAACTCTGCACTTTTTAAAAATAATCTAAAGATGATCTTAGTAACCGATCTAAGGAAACTCCGTGGTGTTTTTAATCAACGTTATTTTCACCTGGCTGGACAACCAAGTTTGTGAGCTGAGTCAAGATACAGTGAAACGTGTTAACCACAGCCACCTGGCCAAGAGCTAATCAGATTTCAGCCCCATGCGAGTTCCCCACTACCGCTGGTTCTGGAGGTCCCGGCCTGAGGCTCCCGGAAGTGTCCCTATGGCAGGAGTGACAGTGACACTTCGCAACGAGCTTGTGTCACCTCAGGGTGTAACAGCGCCGGACCCGCGCGGAACAGCGGCGGCTGCTGCCATCTTCCTCTAGCGCAGCCCCCGCCCGCGGCACAGCGGGCCTGACACTGCCCCCCGCCCAGCCGTGCCGCCGTGCGGGGCAGCCCAGCCGAGGTCCCGGCTCAGCCGTGGGCGCCGGGCTCGAAAGCCAGCTCGGGCTCGGAGCTCGGCGGGCGCAGGATCGGGGCCCGGAGCTGCCCTACCCGTCCCAGCGCCACGTCACCCCCGGGCTGTCGCCGTATGCGGCACCCGCCACACGCCCGGGCCTGGGGCTCCCGCCCGCGACCCCCGCCCTGGGCCCGGATCTGAACCGCCCGCTACGCCCGGCCCGCGCCCTAGGCCGGGCCCCCTCCCCATTCTCCCGCTGTCCCGCCCGCCCCTCACTGCTCCCCTCCCTCCGCAGCGCCCCTTCCGCCGCCCGGCGAATCCCGCCGCGTTCCCCCTGCCCCCCGTCTCCCCTCACCGGACTCCATCCTCCCGCTGTCACCATCCTCCTCGCCTCCCAGCGGACACACAACACGGCGGCGGCCGCGGAGCACGCTGGGAGTTGTAGTTCTGCGGTGAGGGGGACGCTCAGCCCCGCTGCCTTCCGGGCTGGCTGCTTCTCTGATTGGCTGCCGGGGGGGGGAGGGGTTGTTGTGCTCCGCGCCCTTTCCTGAGGGGGCGGGCAGAGAGTCTGCGAGGCGGCGGCATGGACGGCCCCGTGTCCAGTTTGGAGGTCTGTAACCTGGCCTACACGGGGCAGCTGGAGTTGCTGCAGGCCCGGCTGAGGGAGGACCGCAGCCTGGCCACCCGCAGCGACCAGGTCAGGCGGAGCGAGGTGTCGGAGGCTCGGGGGGCCGCAGGGGCTCTCAGCTGGGCCGGTCACGGGGTGGTGTAGTGTAGGGAGGCGGGGGCCAGGGCTTGGGAGGCCTGGGCTGGGGGGAGGGGAGCAGGGCCAGAGTGCTGTAAGGAGGGTGAGGGAGCGGGGCCAGTGGGGCTCGCAGTGGGGTTAGAGCTGGGGAGCTGGGCTGTAGGGGGTGGGAGGAGCTGGGCTGCTTGGGGTATCCGGGGGGGGGGGGGCAGTCTTGGGGTCCTGTCAGTCTGTCTCAGCTGGAGACCTGAGGCCCTGCTCTCTCCCGCGTATCTTCCCCGCTGCCTGCCCTGCCATCTCCCCGCGGGGCCCTGTGCTAGGAGCCCAGCTGACCCATGCCGCGTGTGTTCCTGTTTGCAGGATCACCGAACCGCGCTGCACTGGGCGTGCTCAGCGGGACACACGGACATCGTGCATTTCTTGCTAGGCCTGGGCGTGCCTGTCGATGACAAGGACGACGTAAGTTGTGTACATTCCTAGAAACCTCCTTCTGCGCTCTCAGGAGCGTGTTCTGTGCAGTTTTGGGCTCGATGGGCTGATTTTTTTTTTTTTAGGAATCAAGAAGGAAGTGAGTAGAACTGGCCAGATCCCAAGGCTCATGCCTTTGTTACAGCTGGTATCATATCGATTGGGTTTGGTAAAATACATGCTCTCAGTGCTTAGCCCTGAGTCTTGCATCGATTTTAAAAATGAGCCACGTGGTGATTGCGGAAGGTTCCACGAGGAGACTGGCCCCCTATGGATTTGGCAGCAAACTCATTTCCATGGATAGTGATTATAGATTACTACAAATACTGGACTACTTGTTATGTAACTAAAATCTTATTCTATTCTGCATAGGTTTGTATGATGCCCTCATCACTGTAATATCTGAGTGCCTTCCAATAGTGTATTAACTGACATGAATAACATCTGTCACAAATGGTTTGGTCTGCCTCTCTCATCTGCTTTATGGAAAGAGACCTGTTTACGTAGTGTAGCGTGTGGTTTTTCAGAGTTCTTAGTAGAACGTACATGGTGCTATGTATGTGTTGGACAAGGTAGGCTGAAGAAGTGTAACTTCTCCAACAGATGGTGCTGGTGTTTGTGATGGTCCTAAGTTCTTGTGAGAGTTCACTTCACGGTCTCGGACCAGCCCCCAAAGAAGCTCTGTCTGCTGCATAGGAGAGCATTATCCTTATGGTAGAAAGTGCCTGAGGAGCAGAATTGTCTACCATTGTCTTTATCCTGGAGTTTTAGGGGATCTTTTAGATATACTGGGCCCAGGCCTTTGAGCACCTTGAAGGTAAGGACTGAGATCTTGAACTTTGACTCAATATTCTACAGGAAGCCATTGTAGAGAGCAGAGGATAGGCTTGATGTGCTCAAGGTAGCCTATGTTGCTGAGGGGAATGCCGTTTTCCTTTTAGTTGGTGGACAAATCGGAGTAATAATGTCTATTACGAACAGTACTGCAAGAACAATAATCTTTTTAAATAAGGGGAAGTTGTCAAGTTCTCTTCAGTGTTCTACTGTCTACCTAAAATAACCTTGCAGGCCTTCAAAAAGTTTCTTTCTGCCACTCTTACTCGGACTAGTACCTTACTCTACAGTGGGCTTTTTCCTTGCAATTGTAGGGTTTAAACTATTTTTTTCCTGCCTCTCTAGGCTAGCTGGACTCCTCTCCATATTGCAGCTTCAGCAGGCCATGATGAAATTGTGAAAGCTCTGATTGGAAAAGATGCTCAAGTGAATGATGTTAATCAAAATGGCTGCACACCTCTGCATTATGCAGCCTCCAGAAATAGACAAGAGGTATGGTTTCATATGTTATCAGGTCTTGCTCTTTTTTTGTATTGTCATTAAAGTGGTCATTTAGGTGAATTTTTTTTCCCCATTTCCCTGCATGCTTAGATTGCAGTTATGCTGTTAGAGAAAGGAGCTGATCCTGATGCAACAGACCACTATGAATCCACTCCATTACACAGAGCAGCAGCCAAAGGAAACCTAAAAATGATACAGATCCTGCTGCAGTACAAAGCGTCTGTGAATATACAGGACTCTGAAGGGAACACACCTCTGTAAGTGACGTTACATTTCTGTTCTTTTTTTAATCTCTCTCAACTGAAAACTCCATTACTTACATGCGAGTATATTCAAACTCTCAGTTCCTTCAGAAAACTTCAGAGAAGTGTAACAAGATGTTTCACTCATTTCCAGTCACCATGTTTTAACATTTTTTTCCTTCAAATACATACTACAGACTTTTCTATGTTTCCAGGTGAAGCATAAAACTTAGTTACAGTAACCAATCACTTAATAATTCAACTCTACTGCCCCTAGAGGGTAGACCAGTGGTTCTCAACTTATTATGTGGCCCACAATGTATGACCTGGACTATAATATATGGAGATATACCTATCTCAGAACTGGAAGGGACCCTGAAAGGTCATCAAGTCCAGCCCCCTGCCTTCACTAGCAGGACCAAGTACTGATTTTGCCCCAGATCCCTAAGTGGCCCCCTCAAGGATTGAACTCACAACCCTGGGTTTAGCAGGCCAATGCTCAAACCACTGAGCTGCAGGGGCTGGGTGGCAGGGCAGGGGCAGCCCGGGCCCCAATCCTAGACCCCAGAGCTTGCAGGGCAGCACTTGCCCCAAGGTTTAAGAATCTGAAGTCTAAATCTAAAACTGCAATTAATCATGATTAATTTTTTTGAGTTAATTGCGTGAGTTAACTGTGATTAATTGACAGCCCTACTATTAAGCAAACAAGCAGAAGTTAAATGCAGTTGGTCCAGTATTTGAAATGCATGTATCTAGGGCACTATCCATACGTAAACTCTTATGGTAAAATTTAAGTTAATGGCAAAACTCCTATTTGACTAAAATGGGGGTGAGGATTTCACTTCTAGTGTTTAAGGAATAATTGCATTCTGTTTGCTATTGTTGTGCAATAACGTCAGATTATATTTTTAAAAATCTTATGCCAATTGACCAATGACAGATAAAAGTGGTATAGTTGCTAATGTGGATTTTTTCCATTTTTCATGAGGGATTTTTTGACCAAACGCAGTCGTGTGTGTGTGTGTGTGTGTGTGTGTGTTGCGTACTGGAGCTTATTTGACTTCCCAAAGCTGGCTACCTCAGCGGGGCTACAATCTAGTGTTGAAATGAAGAGACATGAAAAGACAGCAGCCTTGGGAAATACTAAAACTGTCTAATGGCAGTGGAATGACTGGGAACAGGCTTTGAAGTCTATGTTCAGGGTTGGAATTATGTGTGCTCTTTCCCCATATTCCTTTACCTCTTACCTCCTACCCCTGTGAAACATCCATGACACTTCAATTGTGGCTATATATAAACTCCTCAGTGACTGGCACTCTAAACTTGGTAGAGTTGGCAGTGATCATGGGTTTCTTGTTCTTGTTACAGCCATTTAGCCTGTGCTGAAGAGAGAGTGGATGAGGCAAAGCTGTTGGTGTCCCATGGTGCAAGTATTTACATTGAGAATAAAGAAGAAAAGACCCCACTGAAAGTGTCAAAAGTTGGCCTGGGAACTGTACTTAAAAGATTGGTGGAAGACTAGCAGTGTTGGTTGAGTTATGACTTGAATTCCATTCCTGATGCACCCATTTAAGACTATTATCTTAATATTTTGATAGCTTAAATGTTGTTATAATGTGCATATATAATGTATGTAGTGGTATATATCAGTACCCTTCAATTTTACCACCAAATGCACTTCTTCTAATTGCCTGTTAATTAAACCAGTCAGCACTTTTAAAGTATTTTTAGTATCCTGCAGTTTTGTTTCATGTAAAATTATTGTTACTCTTATAAATTGGAATTGGAAGAAACCTGTTAGGTTCTATTTTCTATTTTACAGGGCCTAGTGTGGGATTGTTTCTTTATAGTATATTGTGTTCAGTCCTGTTGCTTGAGCCATTTAAAATTAGGTTTGCTTTGGAAGCCCGTTCCACAGTCTGTTACTTTTTGTTACAGCTGGCCAGAAAATGGAATTGAAGTTCTGTGAAAAACTTCCATAACAAGAATATTTTAGGTGTTTCCAAAACGAAATATGCTTCTTGGAATCCCCGGCTGCCTACCCAGATGAGTTACCGAGGAGCTGGGGATCCCAGGACATATAGGCTGCTAGCTTCTCAGCAGCCCACCTGATGGGGATCCCAGGAAGCTTATTTTGGGAGCTCCAGAAGCCAAAATTCAAAGTCAGTTTGCCTGGCAGGCTGCTGTGGAGCTGGGGCGTCAGAAAACACAGTCCTCAAAAAAACCATTCCATTGGAAAATTTCCAATCAGTTCTGCATCTTGTAAAGGAACTGGCATTTTTTCCTTTTTTCTTCTTCTTGGTATTCATATTACATATTTGTTTTTTTCAGTTTAATCCAATTCTTATTTCACTTCAGACCTCTCTAAACTATTCCTCTCCCTCCTTGTTATCTAAACTACTGTTCAACTACTTCTAGAGGTTAATTCTATTTGCCACCCCTTTCATTTGTCTAACCCCCTTTTGGCATAGCTATGAATACTTCACTCTCAATACGTCCTTATTGCCTGGTCTGTCTGGCCCTCTAGTCTGTGATGTTCCCTTCAGTTTGTCAAACGCTTCCTGGTAATGAGATGCTCAAACTGTGTCTAGTAAGGTACATGCAGACTTGCTAGTGCCCCCGCAGAGACACGGTCATCTAATTACATTGCTTTCTGCTGGCCCATTATGTCTCATTGCAAGCTCCCATCTAATTTTACTGTCTGCTATCATCTTGTGCCTTTATTTAATATCCCAGCTTTTAAGAGGTGTTTTGCCCATTGAATATCTGTGTTCTGGATTTTTTCCTCAGATGTACTAGCTTGAATCTCATTGAATTTCCTTCTCTAGCTGTCAATGTTGGTGGTTTGGTGCATCCCACTGTGTAATATTATCTCTGACTTTAATGTGCTGTTTACCTCTTTAATATCAATAGTCCAGGGCACCCTTTATTTACTAGCAGCAACTTCTGCTTCCTTAGTTATAGGAAGATAAAATCGTTGTATGACTGAAAGACGTGGTGTTCATGGGCATGTACTATTAGTACAAAAAACAGTCTCATAGGTGATAATTGTAACAAAAGTTCCAAGCATTGCCCTGAGGTTGCATCCCTGTAGTGAGAGTTATCACTTTACTTAGCTTTCTTTGAATTTTCCCTGCTGTGATTACATGGCTGTAAAGCGCCTTCCAGCAGAAGCTCCTTCTAGTCCCATGAACACTTACGAAATAAAACTGGTCTTTCTGGAAACCAGTTCTTCTGTAAAGTCCTCCTCTTCCTAGGAGGACCACAGCAGTGCACATTCATAACTTGGAGCTGAACTCTTCTGGAATAGGAACACTTCTCAGAGGTCAAACTGTCACCATTCCATTCATTCCTTGTCTCTCTTGTTTGGGGGGCAGAGGGGCCTCAGACTTAGCTGTGAGCTAGCTTTGACTCAGATGAAAAGAAGCTTTCATGGTAAGACAATTTCCAGTAAAATCATATTCCTAAATGTGAACTTTCAGAGTAGTGGGAGAGTAGCGTATCCTCCTCACATTCTCCTTTCTTGGAGAGTCTGAGTTGCATAAAGTTATATTCATAGGCTATGAATAGATAGTACTTTTTATTGTGAATGAATTCCATGCTGTCCCCTCCCCTCCGGACCATTGTTTGTCAGAGGAGTAAACCAGTGAAGTGATGCAGTCCTGTGGCTTGTCTGCTAACCAAGCATTGGATGGCTACCTCCTCCTCTCCTTGGCACTGTCCCATGTCTTACAGTGTGCTGATGAACACTGAATAGGTAATAGAAAAGCTTTTTACGTGACCATTACATTCAGTTTGTTGTCATTCCTGAACAGAGTTGACATTGCCCCTGCACTGCTTTAGGAATCATATGATTAACATATAATTCACTGATGGCAAAAGCACCTCAGTGTCAGGGAAGTATAGAATTGAGAACACAGGACTTAGCAGCAAAGAACTGTTTAACAGGTGACAGTGAGACTTCTTAGACACCCCCCCCCCCACACAGTTTTTGGTGGTTTTTTTGTTTGTTTGGGCGGGGTTAGAGTGCTTATTTAACAAAATTCTGTAATTAACAATATAATAAAGTTTTGTAATGGCAAACTTTATTAAACTTTTATATATAACAAAAGAATCTGTATCATTAGCTAAATCACTTATGCACATAAGTCATATAAAAGAGCAAATCAGTAAGCTGAAATATTGCCAGAGCTGAGATGTGGGGGAGAGTGACTGCATGTAAATAGAATCAGGCTATCCTTCAGTTACAAGGAAAAGTTACAAAACCAGATAATAAAGCTTCCACAATATGACTGCTTCTGTATAAGGGACTAAAGTGATGCAGTTTCCTACCAACAATTGTACAGCAAACCAGAAAATTGTATCTGAACACTTCATACAAAGTGATCTCCACACTAGAAAATAAAATGCAGTTTTCTCAGGAGAGAGTGGCAGGGTCCAAGCAAAACTTGCTCTTTAATAATAAGCTGTTGACATTCAAAATTGATTGAGAAACCAATGATTTTGGCTAAGATGCTTTTCAACCTGCATCTCTTAAATACTAAATTCCAGGAACTTCCAGAAGTAAGGACTATAACCTTCGTTCTTGTGTCCTAACCCCTGTGTTGTCAGAGCTGTATAATATTACTGCAAAGGGTTATGATGGAGAGAAATATAGAATCAAACTAAATCAGAATGATTACGTATTCTAAATCATTGTATAGGTTTTGGTGATGATAGAGTTAAGTATTAAAATGTCCAAGATTTGAGCTTTCAGATCAGTAAAGTAATCTTTGGTTTGGGGTTTATGTAAATAACTAAGTCTGTTAAGCATCTATAAGTATGAGTTCCTTGTTGCAAGGAGTGAAATTCTACTCTAATGCCCCTAAAACTGTTGTGGAGAGAGGAGTGAAGCCAGCGTGTCATCAAAACGGCAGCTCCTATGGGGAGATGGGATACAGTAGGACAGAAGGGAACAGAGACAGTAGCTTTATATTGCTTTGTCCCTGGCAATTCAGCAGTATTTCCAACAGGTGCTTAGTGCTGCTCATTGCAACAACTCACGTTCCATGCCCTCGCAGCCCCTGCGTGGGGACAAGGGTGAAAGTAGAGAGCCAAGTGATGCATGACTTGTGCATCAGCCATGGTACTAGGGGAGAGGCGAGTACTACTGCAATCCTGAGCTGTAAAGTGGTGGGGATGGAATTCTGTATCGCTACTTGGGATCTATTCAGGTCAAAGACATTGCTACACTCCTGTCTGTCAGCCGATGAATCCTGCTTTCGCCAGGAGATAATGGCTCAGAGACATTGTGTGCCTTTTTATATGGAGTTTCCCTAGTGTGACGAAGTGGGAATTTTCTGTAATAATTTTATGAATCCTAGGCATGCCTCAGTTTCCCTCTGTACATTACATTGCATTGCTACTCAGAAGGTGTACTGAGCAGGGTAACCCTGCTCTGGAACAATGCAGGAGTTGTTGGGCGGGGCGGGGGGGAGCAGGGAATGAATAGTCACTTAAAAAAAAAAAAAAGGCTTGACCCGGCCCAAATCAACAGAGGGACTGGAAGAAGGGGGCTTTTGGAGGGACTCAAGTGGCCAGACCACAGGAGACAAAAAACGGACCAGAGAGGGCTCATCAGGGCTGGTTTGACTAGGATAGACTATTGCTTAACTGCTGCCTCTGTGTGCTAACCTAAGGACTTTTAGATTCTGCGTGCCAGGTGATGATAAACTGTTACCTTGTTTGAAAAGGCTGCCTGTCTTGCTGTGAGCATTCTGTCCTGAAGGGGCCAGCACAAGCCTCCCACAGGACTCGTGACTTGGTTGGATTCGCTGCAGGGAGCCAAGGAGAGAGACGGGTTGCTGGTGCTGAGTCACGGAGGCCATGGACCTGCCCGTTTGGAACTGTGTAGGTCCTTGGGGCCTGGCCCATTAAAGGGGTCACTCCCTGGAGACTGGTTACAGGCTGGGGCATAGACCAGACCCTGTGACTCCATGGCACCTAATAACATTCCCCCGTCTCCTGGGACAGGATAGTTGGTTGACACAAGAAAAAAGTCTACTGTATCAGAGCAAAGTTCTGAAAAATAGCCTCCACCACTCATGCAGCTCTTCCTGGGTTTCTGTGCTGTACAAACATGATTGATTTTTTTTTTTTTTTTAATTTGCCAAGATGTTCACTGGAAAGCAAAAACACAGTTATAATCCTACATCATAATAACCCATATGTTTGAAGCCAGCTCAGTTGCAATCATATCTTGGTGCATCCCAAAATGGTAAGAAACATATCAACCTCCCTTAGTAAAAATACACCCAAGTAAACTTACTTTGTCTGAAAAACCTCCCCCGCTTGCCCTCCCCCAGAGTCAGTCTAGCATTTTAATGAGGTGCATTAGAAAATTTGGTGTTAGGAAGTTAGCTTTTTATATTTGCTGAGAACTGCTGTCGCGCACTTTATTTGCAATTAGTTTTACATAGGCTGCAGATCCCATTCATGTTCAGCAAATGTATGACTAGTAGTAGTTCCATGAATATTCAAATAACCTGTATTATTGCAGGAATCATAGTAACCTCTTCGCCTTGTAACTTAGCTTACTAAATTATGTTAAGGAAAAAAAGCAAAGGAATCAGGTGAAGAAAACCAAGAAGAGATGTTAATCTGTACGATTACACAATATGCATATAAAAACGAAGACCATGCTATTTTATAGTACCAAAGGGCAGTAGGTAGTTTTTTAAAATGTCCATATCAAACCTCAGGACATGAGAAAATCATTTAAAAACAAAACAAAAAAACGTAGCTACAAACCGGGTCACTGATAAAATCACTTGTATTTTGCATGATAGGAGGAGCAAAATGCTACATAGGGTTTGCCTATTACAGTGGAAACATTTTTACTAATAAAGTTTATACTATTGTTAGCTAGGTAGAGGGCTCCCTCTGTCTGGTAATTCACTTGAAATATTTTGTTCGCAAACATTTTTTTCCACCTGTGGTGAGGAATGACATATAATCAATGAACAGATTGTACTGCCTCATTACTTTTTTTTCCTAGTGAGTGAGTTTGTTTAGTACTGTAGTTTTTGTCCTACTCACAAGGCAACTTCAATAAGATTACTGAAAATTTCAGGTAACCTCATAATGATCATCGAATTTAAGGACCCAAACCTGCAGTCTTTGCTCAGGCAAAATATCCATTAAAATTAATGGGAGTTTTGCCTGCAGAGACAGCTCTGAGTAATGACTTCAGATTTGGCCCAGACATTTTAGATATTTGGGCTTGGGTACCTGCTAGAGTGAAATCCTGGCACTGTTGACTTCACTGGAGATTTTGCCATTGACTTCAGCAAGTTCAGGATTTGACCCCTATCATCTAGTCCAGTCAATTTTCAACTTAAGCAACAAAACTGAAAAATGTGGCTGAGTACGTTGTACGCTGGAATATTGAATTTAAGTGTCTGTATGTATAAAGAGAACTCACTAGAGTACAGCAAAGTGGTAGATATGGAATTTTATAAATAATGTTAGTTGGCCAAAACTGAACCCTCTTTTATAGTACAGATCATAATTAGCACCTCATCAGTCTGAATTTCTGAGTTTGCCTCAAATGTTGATATCCTCTTGTTTTGGTTAATGAGCCATTCAGACAGACTCTGATCATCAGTGATAATTGAACCCAGGAACTTCAGCAACATTCCTACCACAGTACTTCTTTAGTTAAAGGTGTAACTGCATTACTGCGAGTGAGAGGCAGGCTGTTACTGTTGCTGGGGATGGCTACTAGAGGCAGATATGAACACATGCTCTAAGAGTCTGCTCCTGCACCTGTTGAAGTCAGTGGCCAAACTCCCATTGATTTCCAAGGTGTGGGATCAGGTCCTTAGATACTGTAATGTATTTGCTAAGACAGTCGTCCTGTGCCATTCTCAGCACATGCAACACTTCAGATTGGCTGGCAATGACCGTTTTCTTTCAGAAAAGGGACTCCGGTGTTTACAAGCCATCACATAGCTTCACCAGCAGCCAATAAGAAAGCTCCAATGTTGTCTGTCTTTCCAAACCCATTTAATAATTAATATTCTCAAATGGGTTGGATAAATGGAGATATTAGCTATGCTGTCATTCATATTTGGTACACAGTCATAGCTAGATAGTTAATAAGTGCAATAACAAAATTGAAAAATGAGGCCATGATATACATACTTCTTGGATGGTTGAAGGCATGACCTTCAAACTCCCACCTTGTGATTAATACCACAAATGCACGTGTGTGGGTTATAACCACACTTCTTCCTGCGTTAATTCAGTACCAATATTTCTGAGGATGGGGTCCATAGCGGATAAGGAAATTGCAACAGAATTTTAGGCTCTTGTTTGTGTCTCCACTCCTTGCATCTCATCATTTTCAGGCATTCCAGAGGCAGCAGTTTCTGCAGCAGTAGAGTATTCATTGGCTGCATTAGCTTCTCTGCTTGGTGTAGCAGTGGCAACAGACTCATTTTCTTGGGTGGGTATATTAGCATATTCCACATTTGCCTGTTGTTTCTGAGTCATTGGTCTGCAGGAAGACAAGATGACGGTTAGACTAATTAATAACAACTTGAAATCCTCCCCATAATAGAGCCTCCCAAAAGGAACATCTTAGAAAACCCTGACGTAATGGCGATAGTATGATTATTTATATTACACACTAGCACCTAGAGCTCCCCATTGTATTTAAAAGTATTATGATACAATTTTCTGATGACACAGAGATTGGCAGAGTAGTAAATAATGATGAGGCGAGGGCAGTCAGACACAGGGATCTGAATCGTTTGGTAAGCTGGGCCCATTCAAACATGCATTTTAATACAGCTAAATGCAAGGTCATACATCCAGGAAAAAAGCAGGCAGGCCAGGCCTATGGAATGGGGAACTGTATTCTGAAAAGCAGTGACACTGAATAAGATTTAGGGGTTATAGTGGACAAACAACTGAACATGAGCTCCTAGTACAATGCCGTGGTGAAATGGACTCATTTCCTTGGACATATAAACAGGAATGTTGTGTAGGAATAAGGGAGATGATTTTACTTCTGTATATGGCAATAGTGAGACCAGTACTAGAATACTGTGTCTTGTTCTGGGGTCCGCAGTTAAAAAAGGATATTGAAAAATTGGAGAGGGTACAGAAAAGAGCCACAAAGGTGATTTGAGGGCTGTGAAAATGACCTACAGTGAGCAATTTGAGGTGCTCAATGTGTTTATATTATTCAAAAGAAGATTGCAAGGTGACTTGATTGCTCTGTATGAGTACGTTCACGGAGAAAATACAGGGTACAAAAAGGGTAAACCTACTGGGCACCTTAATTTTCATGGTAAAAGTTCCCCTGGGCACCTTAAGTCTCTGCTTCTGGACATGCATGCTGCTGCCTCACTCTAGGAGTCCAGATGCCTGTCACCTGCATGAGCCTCAGCCCGATCCATGAATGGGAGGAAGATAGGCGGAGGAGCACCTCTCTTGCCTGCAGGGTGTGATCTGGTAGGCATGCTCAGAGGCCACCTACTGGATCAGTTCCCATTCAGAATTCAGTTGGAGGGGGTGGTGATGCCACCCACCTTATAACTTTTGGCCAGTGATTAGAGCTTTCACTTCGGATATGGGAAACCCAGGTTCAATACCCACCTCTGCCTCAGAGTGGAAAAGGATTTGAATAGGGTCTCCCACACCTCTCAGGAGAGTGATCTAGCCACTGAGCTGTGGGCTATTTTGATGTGGGACTCCCTCAATCTCTCCTGTTGAAGCTATAATGAGAGAGACAAGGTGGGTGAGGTATTAGCTGCATTATTGTCGGGTTTTTAACCAAGAGGGAGAAGAAAAAGAATAGAATAATACCTCACCCACCTTGTCTCTCTGACATCCTGGGACCAGCACAGCTACACCAACACTGCAAGAAGCTATAAATAACAGTTTCAAAGTGAGACAAAAATAAATAGTCTTACTTTGTAAATGTTATTGCACCATATTTGACTTAGTCCCAAAGAAACCTTTGCGGTAGAGAAGTTTTGCTTTTGGATCCATCTCGACCATCTCTATTTGAGGGGGTTGGTCAGGAAATGTTTGTCTTACAATCAAGCAAACAAAAATTCTTACTGCATTTCACTATTTGCTGCTTTCTCTTTTCTCTCCTTTTTCTTCTCCCTCTTGGTTAAAAACCAGACAATAATGCAGATAACAACTGCTCCCAGAATTGCTCCAATTAATGCTCCAGCAATGAGACCACCTTCTGAATCTGGAAAAATATGTGCACAGTGTTAATTTTAAAAAGCCACCAGTATAGAGAGAATCCCATTGAAGGGGTACCAGATGGAAAGAAGATACTGGGTTCAAAGAGCTGAGAACTAAAATCCATGCTTTTAGGAGAGGGGGAGTCAGGCTTTCACTATTCTTTGCCTTCCAGCTTCTTGCTAGGTGGCACTATATTGCTAGCTGTTCTCTACCCAAGCAGACGGAGAGAGAAGTGGGATGCTCAACAAACCTAAATAATCCATTCCCCACTTTTATGACTGGCTACAGGAGAGATAAGATAGTTTAACAATATGGAGGGCTGTTGGCTCTTCAACCCTTGCAAACAAAGTTTTAATTCTGGATGGCCTCTGTCTCCCATTTTTTGTTGAGATATAAAATGCAGGCCCTGCCTATCTATGATCACTAAGGATCCTATGTCATTTTCCTATCCAAGTTCCAATTCCCATCATTACAGTCTACCTACCAACATCTCCCTGGCATTTGAGCAAGGCAATTTTTTTATTTTACAGCCCACTTAAGAGCGAAATTATCTCAAGGACCCACCCCAAACCCCTATTGCTGCATTCTCAGAACATTTAATTCTACTGACTACCAGGAAAGATCACACATTGCTCTGATAGGCCACAGGCTGAGAACAGTTGGGATAAGGTACTCTTCTTTCTTTCCAGCCTAATGTTACACTATTAAATAGCTGCAACACTCCACTCTATAGCCTGGAGCATTTCAATGGTGTTTGTAAAGTGTTCTAGGCCCCATTGGGATTGTGAGCTTGAAGTCAGTAGACCGAAGGCCTGGATCTGGTCGCTCAAAGCCATTTAGAGGCTCATGTGTTTAGATCCAGAGATCCAAGTTTAAATTCTCACTGCTGACAAACCACCCAGGGATGGGGAATTACAAAGTGGCAATCCATGCAGAGATTTGAAATGGGTGGATCTCCCTAGACAGGAGGTGTCTATAACTCAGGATGCTTCCGGAGTGTTGCTCTCTGTCCCCCTCTACTGGCTGGACCACATAGAGGTTTGTGAGGCTGCTACAGCCTTCCACCTAACAGAGCTAGGTCTGTCAGTTAACTCATACTGTAGAAGCTTGTGGTTTTAGATCCAGAGGTTCTGGATTCAAATCCCTGCTGCTGACAACCCAGTCAAGAGTGTGGTGTTATATTAGCATTTGTATAGTGTATTAGATATTTAAAGTAGTTTAGGAACATTAACTAATTAAGCCTCACAATCCTCCTGTGAGATATATTGCTAAGTATACATTAGTATGCCCATTTTACAGGAGGAAGACGGAGGCAGAGAGGTTAAATGACTTTCCCAAAGCCACACAAGGCCCAGTTGAGTTGAGAACTGAGGACCTCCTGACCACCAACCCCATTCTTATTCCAAAACAGTCTACCTTTAAAAAATGTAAACTATTTTTGTCTTTCTGATTATGCTGTATGTAAAGCACATTTTATTCCATTCATATGATGAACTCACGTGCTGCAGTTAAGTCAACTTCACAGCTGCTGTTTCCAAGGCTGTTACTAGCTGTGCACCGGTAGTATCCAGCTTCAAAGGTGGTGAGATTACCAATAATCAAAAGCCCAGTTTTTGTATCTGTGACAAATGGAAAACATATATGTACATGCATGTTTATATATTATATGGGTAATTACTTGTATTCACTGAATAAGAATAATAAGGATTATTACAAGGCATGGGAGGTTGTATTGTAAATTTTGCAGCATTTAAATAAAGGGATTTCCTTAAAAAATCTATTTAGAACCATTTATCTTCCTTGAAAACAATTGTTACATCATTTTACAGAGAACTCTGCAGTATCACATTAAGTGTATGAGAACCAGGTCCCCTATCCTGCAAACACAGACGCATGTGTGTAATTTTACTCATTTGGGTAATACCATTGAAGCCAATGGGATCTCTTGCAGGTGTAAAGTTATGCACATGCTTAAGTGTTTTCACAACAGGGGCCTAGGAAACAAAACTACAATTTGAGTTCCACTGAGTATAAGTTTAGTATAAATTTGCATCTCACTCAAACAAAGGTGAATAAAAATTAAAAAAAAAAAAAAAGGCAGTAAATTAGATTATTGCAGTTCTTTTCATTTTAATGCTCTGGGGTGTAATTAGTATCAGATAAGAATTTTTTTTTTTTTACGTAATTATCTTCTCTGAGGCCAGCAGCATTATTTATTGTAAAATTGACAAAACCAGGCTAATGCATTTATGTAATGGCTGTTAGTAATTTTTGATAGGTAAAAATAAATTCAATCCATATTATTGCACACAAAGCGGGGAAATGCAGTCTTTTCTGTATTGACTAGAATATTGAATGCATGGTTCAAGCCATCACACTCCAGGTCTTGCATGTTACACACTAGTACTGAGGAAGTTACTCACTGAATTGTTCTGTCATGGGTTTGTGGGTCCCCTCTGATACTTTATACCACTGGTATGTAGGCGCAGGCATCCCTTCTTCAGAATAGCAGGAGAGAGAGACAAAGTGGCCTGTCTCAGGGGTTCCCCGTAAGCTACAGTGAGGCTGTGAAGGTTTGACTGTAAAATAACAGCAGGAAAAATAGTTAGATCATGGGTACAAATTATGGGCCAAAATATTGCTATACCAAATTCTACTTTCTTACACTGGTGGAAATAATCTATTGACTTTGGTGATGTTGTTTTAGCTTTCCACCAGTATCACAGATCAGATCCTGGCCCAGTAGTCTGACCACAATCTCTCCCATATAGACATGAGCAGCAACAAAGAAAAGTGAACAGTCGGGGGGAAACTCTTATTGCCTTTCATGGTGTTTATCATACTAAATACTTTTACGAAGGCTGTAAGGTATTACTTCTTGCTGGAAAAGACTATCAGTTATTTCAATTATATTACGACTGTCACTTTTCGTCCCTGTCAGATCACTTTCTGCCTCATGGGACTGTCATTTTCGGTGTAAGTGGGTCTATTACATATGAGTGCAAAGATCTATAGCCTGATTCTTCACTGCCTGGCACCTGTAGAGACATTTACCCCTGTGCAAAATGCTACCATTCTGTTTTGGTACTCAGCCATATCCTAGTCTGAGCTACACCTGTGTTGTTTTTAATTTTCTGCATTTGCTTGGTCATGTCACCCATTTAACACAATTTAAACATATTGTTGTGGGCCTCTTCTGTAACTCCACTGCAGTGGAATTACACCAGTGATGAATCTGGCCCAGTTTTTGTCTGTATTAAGTACAAGCAGTGATGCTTGCTTTTCTAAGGAAAACTACAATCCCATTTTTCAAGCTTTGAGTCAAACTCACATATGCTCTTGTTTATTATTCTGCTGCAGAGTAACTGCTGCTTGGGTTGTTTTTTTTTAGGATGGTTTTAATATCTGTGCTTTGAAAATTTGTTTCTTCCAGTGGATTTATCTCCATTTGCCTTTAATTGTCTCATCTGTATAGACAAATGATACAGCTGGAGCGATTTTCACATATGCACTGACTTCTCACTCTAATCAACTACCCAGAGAGTATGTGGATAGTTGTTAGGTGGAGTTAGTATTAACATCTTGTTAGCAAGTAAAATTTTTCTTGTCTCATTGCTTTTCATACTTGTTCAACTATCTGTTCAGGTATCAGAGGGGTAGCCGTGTTAGTCTGGATCTGTAAAAAGCAAAGAAGAGTCCTGTGGCACCTTATAGACTAACAGACGTATTGGAGCATAAGCTTTCGTGGATGAATACCCACTTCGTCGGATGCATGCACCCACGAAAGCTTATGCTCCAATACGTCTGTTAGTCTATAAGGTGCCACAGGACTCTTTTTCGCTTTTTATCTGTTCAGGGTTGAACTATTGCTTTCTTTCAGCTGATGTGTACTCTGTACACAACACAAAACAGAGAGCTACATTGATTAGACTTTTTACTAGAGAGGCAGCATTTGGACTGTTTATGGAACCAGGACTTCTGGATTTTACTGCTGGCTCCACCAATGACTATCTGTGTGGTCTTAGGCAAGTCGCTATGACCAGCATTTTCAGATGTGGGGGCCTAAAACTATATCAACAAGTGGCCTGATTTTCACAGCTGCTTTAGGCTTCCAAATTTTAAAATGTTGGGCTTAGCCTTAAAGCCTAGGCCAGCAACCCTAGCTCAAGTAATGTTTTCAGGGTGTGGTTGTGGTTCCCAACTAAAAGTGTGTTTTAATTACTACCCAGTGAAACTGGGTGGTAACAGCTACCAAGAGGATGTATATTTCTCTGGCCATTATAATAGGTGGCTCTATAATGCAGCAAGGTTAACATGGAGGACTCCCGTGGCAACTCAGATTTTACTGGCCATTAGGACAGGGTGAGTGCAGTTATTAGTTGAGCACAGGTTTCAGCATATACATATTACCCTGTTCACTAGGGGTGAGCAATGTTCCACAGGCACTGTAGTCAGCAGTCCTGTTCATGATTGCTTCAGCCAGGCCAGGACTACGAGGGCGGGTCTCCATGCAGCTGGGAGTGAGCCTCCTGAGAGCCTGAACTCCGGCCCAAGCTGCAATGTCCATGCTGCTATTTTTAGTGTGCCAGCTTGAGCCCCTCTGGCATGAATCTGTCTGCCTGCTCCGAGAGGCTCACTCCCAGCTGCAGTGTAACCCTAACCCAGAGACCCAGTGTGCTAACACGAGGCAGCACAGGTGGTGTTTGCCTGGGAGGTGGAGAGAACCACTGGCTCTGTCTGTGTCCAGCAGCCTGGAAAAAGAATCTTTCTATCAATTAAAATAATTCCTGTTTCTTTACCATGATGGTTACTGCATTGCACAGCTCCAGGGGGCCCCCTGCACTAACTGACCAAAAGGTGCCAATGTTCCCATCCACTCCCCATTACATTATTCTCTTGGGTACCCTGTAGTGCATTTTTTAATCCCAATTCAACACCATGTGATAAAGCAACATGAAAACACAATGCAAAAGAAATTACCCAGTACTCTGACAGCCACTGATTTCTGGTTCTGTCCACTTGAATCTTGTGGGTTGAAAACTTCGCAGGTATAAAACCCGGTGTCTGAGGGTTGCATGTTGGAAATTGTTATTGATGCATTTCCTTGGTTTGTTGTCCCGTTTATTCTGTTCTTGAACTCTCCATACTCATAAGCCTGTCCATTCTGAAAATAATAGATCTGTGACACAAAACGGATCGTTAGTTAAATAAGAAGTGAGCTAACTTGTATTTTGTTTGGTGTTGCTATGTCAAATACAAAGAAATTTCAGAAGAAGCAAAACCACCTTATGCCCAATTCCCTCACTGTAAAGAAAGCTGTGATTAAAACCATGCTGTACATTGCAATCTAAATTTCTAATCATATTCTTACATGATAAGCTCCTCAGGGCAGGGACTGGGTCATTCTGGATGTGTGGCTTGTAACTAATACACTGTGGGAACTGCAGAAATAGAGTGCGATATTTGGGAAAGGCATATTTTCTTTACAAGAAACCAACTGCCAGGCAAGATTATGGACCATTATGTTACCCACCTAAGTAATAAAGCTAAGTTATGTACAATGAACAGAAGGGCTAATTAGAGGGCAAATAATTTGTAATGTAACTGATAACTAGGCCAGTACAAGATTATCATAAGAAATGGAATTGCCATTGCAAAGAAAAATGGATATTTGCAGAGCTATTAAAAACTGTGCTTTCTAAATGAAAGTGTAAGCAAGCAGTAAAAGAGGTGAAGTGCATCTAATTAAAGATAGCTAAGACTGGCTAATGCAGAAAGACAAAACACAAGGGTAAGCAAACCAAGCTATGTTTGCAGTAAATGTGGAGGCAATCACAATACAGGGGCAGAGGTGTCTACCACAAGCAATTGGAGTGCCAGAACCTGCAATAAAAGTGCCAGACATGCAATAAAAATGTTTCTGTCCCTATCAGTGTCATGCACGGGTGGGGCCATTATCAGAGACCCTCAGGCAGGCCCCAGCTCTTTCCTTTTCCCAATACGCTCCAGGGACATAAGTCAGGAGTAACTTCTCCATCTAATGGGAAGTTATTGCCATATTGGGCACATTGTGGGGATTTGCATCTGTCTGTCAAACATCCAGCATCTTCCCTCAAATAAGAGACTTACTGTTGTACATTCAGATGAGCTCTACTGCCTTCAGTAATGTTACTCCTGATTTACAGCAATGTGAGAGCCAGATTGGGTTCTATAGACTTATGGACTGAACTTTCTCCCATAAAAGTCTGTAGCAAAACCTCCATTGATTCGAATGAAAAGTAGAATTGGGCCCATAGTGGGTGGTGGTGGTTTGAATCTTGGGCCTTCGGTCTATCTAGGACTACTGATATCTCAGATATCATGGTGATGGGTGTGGTTTAGGAATGTAACCAGTTCTGGTAGACTATTCACACTCAGCCCTGTTTAGTTCTATTATAAAACAGTGTACGGAAAAAAATCAGCTTCTATGAAAGACGTATTGAAACAGTTGCCATTTTTATCCAGAGTTTAACAATAATACTCCTGCATAACAGTGCTACAGCTTGGAATTTGTAGTGCTCTACTCAATTCCTACTTTGATAAATGCCGTTCCATGACTAATTGGCAATGTACAACTTGAGGGGCTCTTCTTGTAAACAATGTGCTCCAGGCATAATGAGCTGATCCATTGTATTTAGTGGGTCTTCCCATGGTAGTCAGCAATATTAATATGTCCAGCTGTGTTTACAGGATTGGGCCCTTAATTACTATAGCATCTTTCATATCAACTGTGTTTCAGGAACAATGATACGACAATATTTGTCACTGCTGGACTGACAGTTGGCTTATTACTAGAGGTGGTTGAAAAGTGTGTGAGGGGAAGTTTAACAAATTTTAGTCACGTTTCATTTGCTTCTGACTCATCAAAATTTCATTTTGTCAAAGATTTCCAATCAGCTTTAGTTCATGCTATGAATCCCCACCCCCCAGACAATAAGCACAATTCTATTTACCTTGCAGATCCGTAGATTGTATTTTGAATAAAAAATAAACACTTGGGCACCCTGACGCAGTGTTGACTGAAGTCTTTAATCAATGTTATCTAGACGTCTTTGTTAGCTTAAGGCAAGCTACACCCCAAAACTGCCAAAGTACAGTTGGTTCATACACTGATAAGATTTTCAATGAAGGTCAAAACCCAGGCTGTGTACCTACTGTCCAATAGCAGCTACTGTATTCCCAAAACATGGTACTATCATAAATGCAACAACATTCATTCTAGCTCCGAAGAGGGATAAAAACACATTAAGGGTGAAATCCTGGCCCTATTGAAGTCAGTGAGGGACAGGATTTTACCTTGAGGGGGTTTATTCTTCCCTTAGAATACATCTAGAACCTGTAGCATTGTCAGGCAGAGAACAGAACTCAAAATGTGAGTTAAAATAGACCACAGCTTTTCCTGCCATTGTTTCTGCCAAACTTTACTTCAACCATCCCAGGCTGGAATAAAACTATGTACAAAGCTTTGATGTTAAAGCAGCTGCAGGTATGCCCCTTATCAGGGAGTTAATTGGGTAGGAGGTAAGCACAAATGGGAGTATAGCTGGGGGAGAAGGGGTGGATAGGGAGAAGAGAAAAGCGAGCGCTGAGCTCTGCATGCTATAATAAAGACAAGCTGATCTTTGCTGATCTGCACCTCAGTCTTTATTACGCACCTAGGCCCAGATGCTCAAAGATATTTAGGTGACTAAACACCTGTGAAGATCTGGGCCATTGTCTGTGCAAATAATATTTTTCTTTATTTCTATGGTTAACTGATGAGGTGAGCCCCAGTGACGAAGATTAATGCAGGAATTGTTTTATTGCAACAGACTAATGAAGCATCTAGTATGACATTGAACAGTGGATGCTTCAGAGGTAGATTTTAAATGCCCATTATATACCTAACTTTGCAGTACTGTGTCATGGGAGGAGAAGTTCTTCCTGACTACACGTGTATCCCTTGAAGCATGAGCACTGACTGCTGCTCTTTCCTCTTAGCTAGTATACCTGCAGATGCTCTTATTCATGTATGTGAGATAAGAACTGAAAACTCCTTTTGATACATCTATCTCTCCACAAACCATTGGTGCATATATCGTATAAATCATTCCGGCCTCTATTTTTGCTGCTCATTTAATGACTGTGCTTGCTTAGAACCTTCTGCAGCTCCTCAAAATATATTTACAGGTCAAGTTACAACAGAACACAGATACTTTTGACACATCTGCCTTTCAATAGCTTCAGAAGAAAGGTGGAGCATGCATAAACTTGAACCTACTCTCATTCATACCTGTCTCACACCAGAGTCATGCCACTGAATTCGGAGTCTCTCCTGATTTACACCAGTGTAACAGAGTAGGGTGTATATGGGGTGAGCTCAAAAGGTAGCACCTCTGAGTAATAGACAGTTGCACCTGCAAGGAGTGGTTTGCTGGCAGTTAGTCCTGATGACTCACTCAACTCTCACTAGTGGCTCCAAGTAGTTGTGTGTGCACTGCAGTGCCACACCCTGGAATCTTGCCTTGTCTGGCATGCTAAACCTATTGGGTAGCTAGTGACAACAACTGCTAGTGAAAGGGCGCACTTGGCTCTCAAGTGTATGAAATCTCCTATGGTGAAACCAGCAAACCTAGTTCCAAACGAAAGGATAATGTTGGCAGAAACAGTACAGGAGCAAGCTAGTGGATGGCTCAAAGCAGTGTTACAGTCAGATTACAATATGCTGGTCAACCACAAAGCCAAGGAGTTGTGGTTGAACACTTGGTGAATATTAGACCACACAAACTGAATGAAAAATGGAAAGAGAAACAAAAGTAGGCTGGCTTGGTTGTTGCCCAGAAAAAACAAGCGCTGCGTTCACTACTCAGAAATTGAATTGGGGTGCAAAGGATGTGATCAGAACAAACACAGCAACAGGGAATTACGTAATGGACTCAAAAGGAGAAGACATTTATCGGAACATGGAATGTAAGAACATTATACCAGGCTGGAGCACCTTGCAGTAATAATGCATGAGTTGGTAAAATATGAGTGGGAAATTGTCAGTCTATGCAAAATGAGATGGAAAGGCAAAGGAAAATTCTACTACAATGAACACAGGATATTGACATTGGGAAGAGAAGATGGTGGACGCTGGGATGAAGTCACATTGGTGCCAAAGCCAACGGCAAACTAGGCTCTTGTGGCATTTAAGCTGATATCTCCTTGTTTGTTGAAGGCAAGATTCAGAATCAAATCCTGTGCAGTCTCAATAGTACAAGTATATTCATTGACCTCAGCAGCATTCAGGAAGAAACTGACAAACTGTATAATAATCTACAGAAAGCAATACTAGAAGTTTCAAGACAAGACATTATTGGTGATAGGAGATTTTAATCCGAAAGTAGGTTTGGCCTGGAATTCCTGGGCTGGAGCAGTGGTCAGATTTGGACTTGGTGAAGAAAATGAAAAAGAAGAGCTACTAAATTTCTCCCTAAGGAACAACCTGGTGATAACCAACAAGCTATTTCAACAAATAATGATGCAGAGGAAGTGGACTTGGATATCACCTGATGGGCAAATGAAGAACATGACAGAATTTGTATTTGTGACTCGCAGATAGAAATCGTGTGTGTTGTCATGCTGATCATTTGTGGCTAATATCAGATTGGATCATAAATTAGTGCTGGCGTCAATAAGGTTGAGGCTGAGAGCAACCAAAAAAGTATCGAGAGCTAAGATCTATGACATGGACAAATTGAAGGAGCAAGATATCCAGAAAGAATGCAAAGAAGCTGTGCAGAAATACATTGTCTTTGGTGAACAATGTAAACAGGCAGAATACGCAAAGCAAAATAAGAGAACAAAGCAAGATATGTGAGTTGAAGATATCAGTGGTGAAAGACAAGTGTTGGAAAATAACTGAGGACAAATAAGCAAAGAATAAGGAATGGAAAGAATATTTTGAAGAGCTGTACAATTTGCAGAACATAATAGACGAAAAGGTCCTGGAAAAGCTCTCCATTACAAATGAGAGAGAGCAGATGCTGGAATTCTTAGAATAAGTAAAGATCTCGATAGGAAATTTGAAAAAGAAAAAGGTGCCAGGAAGTGATGACATAACTTCAGAACTGCTGGAGGCAGGTGAGGGACACATGATAAAGGTGATGCACAAGCTAT